TCCCTGGATCTTTTTAACTTATTCCTAAAGCTTGCAATATATCCTTTCTGTAACACTGAGATTGTGCTGAGTCAGGCTCAGCTTAATAATCAATTACTTCCATCAAGCAATGAGACTGCCCAAGGAGAACAGACCTGGCAATATACAGATTAACAGAACTTTATGGGCTCAGTTTTCAAAGACTGAAATACAGGTTTTCTCCACAAATCTTCTTTTTTATTATTAAAAAAAAAGGAAAGAAGAATAAACTTCATCTTCTGGAAAACAAAAGACCACTTGTGTTGTACTGCTACAGGTAGGTGGTTTCAAATTCTTGGTTTTACACAGGTTTAACTATTAAAGGAAATCAAGCAATGCCCTTTTTTGACTTTAGGGTCCCTCCATTGACTCCTTCTGTTAGGGGATATAAAGGGCTACAAGAAAAACTGCGGGTAGCACATACCTTGGGTTAGATCAGGGGTTCCCAACCTGGGGTGCCTGCACCCTCGGGGTGTGAGATGGAATTTAAGGGGGTGCGACAATTTTATGCATTGAGTTAAAAGCTTATTTTTTTAAAGTTCAATTTGTTCACCTGCATTAGAAATTAGACTTCTTCATCTTCAAATGTGATATTACTTTTGTAGGGGGTGCGAACATTAAACATTGTCTAGGGGTGTGGGGCATAGAAAAGGTTGGGAACCACTGGGCTAGATTAACTAAGGGATGTTGACTGGAAACTATCCTGACTCCACATTAGCTAGCCCTTATCCTTAACATTTTAAGCATATCTATCAGACATTCATTTTTTTAACACGGGGCTATTTTTAAAAGAATTGAAGAAAAGTGTATAGCAACAAGCTGTGAACTGAGGAACTAGATTAATAATGTACTTCAGGGTATTTCAGTATTGTTCAATGTATTCTAATGCATGCTGAAGACAACTCGGTGATGGGAAAAACACTAAATCTCCAAGTGTGGTCCTCCTGTATGCCTGGCAGGCTCTGTGCCCCAAATTATTTTCCTTTTAAAAACATTAGATTTCATTAATAGTAATTGAAAAAATAGGAACCTGCATGAAGTAAGCTATGGGTTTCATCATCATTTTTATTTTCTAGAGAGCCTCTGGTCTCCACATAACCCCCCTAAACATTTTTAAGAAATAAAAATGGTTGATTATAGCTGTCTGCTTAATCTATTTATTTATTGCATTTATATCTGCTGCAGTCTGATGACTCTTAGTAACTCATAGGAAAACTCAAGGAAAACATTAAAACATATTTAAAAATTATAGTTTAATCACTAAATCAGAAAATCAGAAAACCAATAGACATAACAAAGATAAGACTAATGGAATTAAATGTAAGTATAAATGATGGTACAGTACATAACATTATTAGAATGCTCTTTGAAGAGCTCAGCTTTTAACACCTTCCTGAAAGCTACTTGGGGGCCAGTCTGATCAACAGGAAGCTGTTCCAAAGCAGTGGCGTTGCTACTGAGAAGCAGTACCTCCTATCTTTGTCTCCCCTTGTCTCCCAGAAGTGTGAGACTACAATGAGTTTCTTTGTGAGCAATCTAGTAGTTTGGGCCAGTTCAAGTTTGAACAAGTGTGTCCACCTGCCCAGAGAAGATGGATTAGTATACAGTATAGATTAGATTAGAGAGTTAGATTAGTTTAGAGTGCTCTAGGAGATTAAAAGAGCTGGTGGGCAGCATCCTTATAAATTTGCCTTCTACCAAATGAATGTTTTGCAACTGCCCATTTTAAGCTAAGGGCAGGCCTACCTTTGACAATCATTTTGTCATACATCCATAACATGTTCTTGAAATTCCAAATTGATCCTTGATTTGCACAAGCATCTCAGCAAAAAGGAGAGCTAAAAGCTAGTCTAGATGTTCCCATCACTACTTGTAAAAGAGATGACAGTATCTGGAATCACTCAAAATGCTAAACCAGGAATTTTTAAACCACTGATTACTGGAGAAGCCTGTGGAGATAATAGCTACACGCACATGCACACACTTGATCTTAGCCAAAAGGCCAAGAAGCAATGTAGATAATGGCTGAAATCACACAGCACACTAAGTTAAAAACTTGGCAAACAAACCAAACTACAATACTTGTAGTTAAGTATTGTATACAAACCCAGCCACTTTCAGAAGGGGATAGTTTGTTTTTAGAAATCTAAGTAAATCCAGTTAACTTGTCACCTTACAACAAGAATCACATTAAGATATGAGTCTAATTGGCCACAACGCCAATAGCAGAACCTGCCATTGGAAGTGTTTGACAGTCAATGATGGGATGATCTGCAGTATAAATAGCCAACTGCAAATTAAAGTCTACTGAATCAAATACTGATCCCTCTAGGAAATCTGGTTTTCTCTCTAGGAAACTCCTTAATCTCACAACATGTGGACAGACTCAACCATAGTTTCAAGTGGGAAACTGTGAGCATCCTAGATCTACAGTAGCTAAATCCAAAAATGCTAGGGAATTCCTGGAAGCTTGGCATTCAGACAAATCAGCCATC